GTTATGCTTAAAATGTTGACAACCACTGGCTATAGATTTCTTTAGAGCAATCGCGACATGAGTTTTATCGATCGTTCTACAACCCAAACATAACAAACATAATAATAAAAAATGTTCATTGTGGTAAACAATATAATAATAATAATTTTTTCTTCCTGATTTGTAAAAATTCCTTACGTAATAGAAAAAAAATGAATATTATTTTCGAAATTTGCGTAGCTGAATTATGGAAAATCCGTTATTAAAACCAAAGCAGCTTTTACGAACTTTAAATTCGCAGGCTTGTGTTATCTTTGTTGTGTCCACCACGGGTATCGAAACCCTGTTTTTAGCGTTATAAGCTTTCATACATACTGCTGCGCTAATAAGAGAGAGGGGGCAAAATTCTATGAATCATTGCTAGTATATTTATGTTATGAAAATATACGATTCTAATGTAAATCAAATAAACAAAATTAAACGACATGAGTACTATATCTTCAACAGAAACTTTATTAATTATTGAAGGGTTTTACGTAACTAAATAATGAATTGAGTTTATCCAGAAATTAAAGTATAATAGTATGGGAGAGGTCTTAATTTTAAGACAAGAAAACGTTGGAATGATTAAAATACAAAATAATGAACAGAAACACATTTGCTAAACAAAAACCATAGTGTCATCCATTAACGTTTAAAATGTTATTATGGAATTATTTTTAGTTAATAGCCATAGTGTTATCCATTAACGTTTAAAACGTTATTAGGGAATTATTTCTAGTTAATAGCCATAGTGTTATCCATTAACGTTTAAAACGTTATTAGGGAATTATTTCTAGTTACTGACAGCAAAAACCTGTTTATTGTTTGGATTTTCTCAAATAGTAAGGCTCATTATAGTAAAAACTAGAAAGGAACTCAGAGGAGAGCAAACCTCATCCACACGGCGTTGATCATGTTCGACCCTCAAAAAATACGAAAATGTGTCTGTATGTCCATCGTTATCAATGGACACGGACCATTTCGGCAAGAGAATGAGGAATAATATTCTACATAAGTCCACCAAGTTTCATCAAAATCCGATCATTTTTTACTGAGTAATAGAACAAAAATTGTGTAAAAAATCGGTTTGTTTGTTTGAAGTTAAGCACAAAGCTACACAATGGACTATCTGTGCTCTGCCAACAAAGGGAATTGAAACCCGGTTTCTAGCGTTGCAAGTCCGCCACTGGAGGGGGGTGACGTGAAAAATTGGATTTTCGTGATTTTGACCCTATTCGCTTCTAAGTTAAGTCATAATCCAAATGTATACTAACTTTCGTCCAAATCCATTCAGCCGTTTTCGAGAAATATTGCTGACAAACACACACACACACAGGGGTGAAAACAACAACACCTCTGTCTACCTTCGGTGGCGGATGTAATTATTGTTAGAAATAACTTGTCGTTACATTATAGAGGCAGATCACTTCTTCCTGGTAAAAGAAAAAAGGAAACGTTAAGTATATGCTTGTATGTTAAATGTTAATCGGTGTTTCTAAAGAAAGTATGAACAAATATTTTATAAATATTTAATGAGTCAATGTAACCTTTAGTTTTGATATCCTCAAGTAACGGCTTCAATGTGTTCAGTAACTTGGGAGTAATTAACTTGCATATTTCTCTTTAATGAGTCAATATAACCTTTAGTTTTGATGTCTTTAAAGTCGTAGTTTCATTGTGTTTAGTCCCATTGGAGTAATTAACCTAGATATTTCTATTTAAGAGTTAAATCAGAAACTGTTTGTCTCGTGCTTTGTTTTTATTAGTTCAGTAAAAAAAATAATTAAAACTTTGAATCAATAAAATAAATCTTAATTGTAAAATAAGTCACGATTTGAAATTTAAATCACTTTTTGCTCTACATATAACTAAAATTCAAATGAAGCATTAGTTTATTTTATTGGAAATGTTTTTTATATTTCTCATAAATAAGTGTTTCTTCACTGATATACAGAAAATATTTTACACTTCTGTTTTTCTATTTCAAGTCAAAAGGGACAGACAGATAGGTTGATAGGATTATAAAACTGTAATCCACAGTCATTTCTCGTCTGGATTCTATTAACTATGTAGGCGATTTTTCCACACTTCTGAAGGCAAAACGGCAACGATGCTTGGACAGGGCCGTGGTTCTCAAGACGTGGGGGTCATTCCCTGTGCGATCAGCTGGCTATTCCAGCTGATCAATGACCAGAAAGATAAATCGGGGTCTCGGTTCTCTGTTCGTGTGTCGGCTGTGGAAGTAGCAGGAAAGGAACAGATAACAAGAGACTTGCTTGCCTCAGGTTAGTAGACACCAATGGAATTTAGATTCAGCGACTATAGAAAAGTATTCGAAATAACAACATAGGTTTTATGCAAGTACCTAACAATTTATCTGTACACGAATATATGGTAAAGTAATCTAAAAAGAAAGACTGGATGACATTATTTCCCACAGATAATCAACCTTGAAACTACCATTCTATTTTCAGCGTTACAGAAAAAGTGTTAACTAGTCATTTTCTTAACTTACTCAAATATAAATAGTACTTCCTTGTGTTGATCCATTTACATCAATTTTTACAGCTTTTTAAAGCTCTAATGAAATGTTTTATGTCAGCACTACGAAAAGTACACATACAACATATACATAGAGATTTATATGTAATTCCAAAAATACACATTGATAAAAAACAGGTTGATAAACAAAAAAGGATTTTTTTTCTAACTAAACGTATCAATATCTATAAGAATCTCGAACTCTTATACACATTGCTATATTTTCCATGTTAAACTTTACTGGGTTCAAAAGTATAGCTAAACTATAGGTAGCGACGCTATATCGCAACTTTTTTATATTAACTTTTATACCAGTGTAGTTTATTGATAAATAAACGAATAAAAATTGTGATGTAGGCGGAATTTTCACAAAATATTTTGCAATGAACCAAACTTTCATTAATGTATAAGAAATATCTTTAAATTTTTATTAAAATTTATATCATCACAAGCAGATGCTCGCTGAAACAACTTAACAGTGATTTTCTTAAAATAGTGATGAATAAATATAAAATGTGCAATCAATCCAATCCTTTGAATCAGAGCGCGTATGCAATATGATTGTCTAGTGGGCTATTTACAACCATCTTTTGTCATTCCATATGTTATTTCAATAACGAAAATTGCTTTGTTATTTAAGCAAAGGAGACTGACTACAATGTATTGTTGGCAAAAATGTTTGGGTTCAATGCAACGGGTGCATCAAGCATAAAATAGCATTCAGGTTCGCTAAGAAGCCACTAGGATTTTTTTTCGCTGGAAACCACAGTTCCGTGTCATTTTACTGAGCACAAGAAAAGGTCGCTACCAAAGTGAGAGCTTTGGAACAGTTGTCATTTCTATAAAAAATGTCAAAGGAAAGATATTTAACTCAAATCAACTTATTCGACATGGTAAAATAAAATGAAGCATGTATATAATGCCGACTTGAAAAAAATAGAAAATATATATAAACCAAATAACAACAAATATATGTACTCAAACACGTCTTCTCTATATGCGTTTTTTCATCAATGCTCCTATCTCCGAAATATTTATTTCAATCCGTCGACGAAATAAGTTCCGTTTGTTTTCGTGAAATTCTCTCACAAAATAAACATTTTTGTTCTTAATAAGTTTTCTCAGATTAACCGATTGACCGTTCAGCACATACTAAAACTAACGGTTCGATGTTGGTATTGCTATTATATTTTATGAGTTGCACAAAATGAAATATTTTCCTGTAATTTACTCTTGAAAAGAACCATTTTGATGTATAATTTTTCTACTATTAACCGTCCAGGAGATACAGAGCGTGACAGACAGGCATTTGGCTATTACATATATACATATATAGATAGATCATGATGCTTATTAAACATCATTTACAAAAATAGTCCTTTCACAGAAAAATTCGTCTGTAGTTTTTACACAGACCAAAACACATTCAGAAATAAAGGTTCCTAAATTTCTTAACATAGCTTCCTAATAGCATATATATATAGTTTAGATTTCATCAATAATTGGCCCCACAAACAGCTGCTGTTTTTGTTAATTACACAAGTGAATTGTGTTTGAAATAAAATCGAATAATTTCAGGCTCGTAAATAACAGTGCAACAAAGAATTACCGATGCCTTTTCCGTGAGATCGAACATAAGGGTTAGTAAAATCACAATATACGTGACGTGAATTTAACAAAGCTAACACAATATAAGTTCACTTCGCTATTTAATTATTCTTTAACTCTATAATGTCGTTCAGTGATATTCAAATAGTTGTCCTGATAATTACCTCTATAATATATATTGTTTTAGCAACTGAAGGTAGTGGAAAATCTCCAGATTCCTTTTTACTGGCAAACCTTTGTGGGTTACTGGTTCCGTCTGCAGAGAAAACTGCTTACTTACTTGATGTGGCACTAAGTGCTCGCCAAAAACAAGGTTAGTGAAAATCGGCATTTAGTAAAATTGAAAAACCAAAAACTAAAATGAGAACAGTCAGCTATTCCCTGTCAAAATAGAACACCTTAGACTTAATTTATCAACAAATCTTCCCAAATTGTTGTAAAAATGTATATCGTAAATAATTAATTGTTGTCGTAAATTCACGCTTTGGGACTTTAAAAGCAAAATGCGTTAATCGAAAAGAAACAGATTCCTAAATATAACAAAACTTTACACCATACTTATTGGTAATATAATACTCTTTTTTTACATACGTCATAATAAAAGCGTGAGGTTATGATAGCTTTTAGCACTTTGCCTTCTTTGAATAACTTTTTGGAACCATGTGAAAATGTTCTGTTTCTTCATGATATTATTTTATCTATTCGCCTTTCTATCTTTTATAGAATATTTTTATTGGTTTTATCCAGTAATGCACGTTTCTCAAGATATAGCTTTGGGTGAAGATAAGAAAGTAATAAAAATAACACTTCCCTTTCGTCTGCTACTGCATAGAATTCCAACATCCAGAGCTTATATCTATATAAATTCAAAAGTATCTTTTTCTCAAATTTATCACGAATTTCTTTAATACCCACTCTTACATGCCTCGTTCCTTTTTCTGCCACATTTCATTTGGTAAATTATTTTCCTTATGTCGCCCTCAACTACCCAATAACAGTAAAGGTACTCGACTATTCCTATTGCTTTGCCTTTCCTTGACAACACAACAATAGTATATTGTTACAAAAATAAGTTAACTGCAGACGTTTTTTCTACATTCTTCTTCATTTGTCCACTGCGGCTCGAGATAATAGGTGTGTAAAAAAATAAAATAATAACATTTCAGTTCTCTCACAGTTCATTGCCCGATAAGCTTTTCGTTCCATATCAGAACTCATAAGTTAAAAGTAATGTACAAAAAACTTGTTTTTATAACAATTTTTAAGCTTACTGGTCTTCCAATATTCCACCTGTTTTCGGCTCATATTGCACTCAGTTTTGTAAACATTGTTCAACACATTTTCGTAATATATTTCCACAAATAAACAACAATTATCATTCACCAATAATCCCTTAGCGATTTTTGTTTTGAGGAAAGGCCTCAGATTGTGTGTTTCATAACTCTAAAATAGGGTAGTCGTAAGCCACACTGTTAAAAGAAAAGGTTTAAACCATAAAAATCTGTGGAAACAACAGTAACTATGTTTCAGAACTCAATTTGTATTGTTTCGTACTAGATGTTGACACACTAGTTTCGGTGCTAGTTGAGCAAATCAGGTGTATCTCAAAACATCGTCTTTAGAGTTACTTAAGAAAGAGTATATCTTAATTCTTAAAATTTCATGTACCTAAAAATGTTTTAAATTTGTTGTTTCGTACCAGATGTTGACACACTACTTTTGGTGCCAGTTGAGCAAATCAGGTGTATTTTAAAACATTGCCTTTAGAGTAACTCATGAAAAACTGTATCTTAATCCTTAAAATTTCTTGCACCTAAAGATGTTTTAAATTTGTTGTTTCGTACCAGATGTTGACACACTAGTATCGGTACCAATATGAGCAAATCAGATGTATTTCAAAACATCGCCTTTAGAGTAACTCAAGAACAACTACCTATTAACTCTTAAAATTTCATGTACCTAAAGACGTTTTAATTTCTTAGACACGAAATGCAGACTTGAAATCTTTTCTCTAAACTCCATCGTTGGAATATTAAAATTGAATGAGAAAGTTTCACAGGGCAATAACAACGTTACCAAACGACTTAGTTCACAAGAATGAAATACTCATCTTCGTTTAAAAAAACTCCTTAGGTTACTGGAATAATTTGTTTATATATTTAACTAGCATTAACAGAAAGAAAAATAAAGAGTCTTGGTCCAACTATGACATATAATATAATAAATAGGTAACTTTCTTTCAAAGGGAATGATTAATGTGATGATTGAGATGATTGTAAAACTTTCAATGACTGGTTCTGAAATAACTTGATCTATTTCTATACATTTCTTAATAAAACTTATCATTCCCAATACGCCTATTGTGAATTTTAATTCCCCTAGAACGAGTAGTTTAAGATATAATAATTTATTCATGTTTTTCTTTATAATCAACTTGTACCTTCAACAACTCAGAAAAAAAGGTTTTTCCTAAACATTCCTAAACTTTACTTAATGATAACGTATGACTAAACATTTCAAGTTTTTGTTTACCACTTAACCTGTACTTCCTCCATAAGTAAGCAGCTAGTAAAAACAATAGTAAATAACAAAGAAATTAACTAGAAAAGTACGTTCAATGTCACAAAATAAATTTTTATTTTATGATATAAAAATCTTAATTGTGGTTTTTGAAAACCTTTCATATAGTATTTGAAATTCATTTTGAACCAACAAAATTGGTGTCTTAAGTAATGCTATTGAGGCTTAAAGTCACCTATTCTGATGTTTTCAAATCACACAACATAATATTTTCAAATTCCTTAAATACTGGAAACCATTTTTGGTGTTTCAAAACGCTATATTTTAGCAATGTGTTACTTAATATCATCCACAGCTGTCTGGAATAATGTTTACAGTATTGGACTAAGATTTCTTAAAAAAAGTTTTATGTGGTACCAAATCGACGAACAACTTAAACATTAAAACTGTGTTTTCTCCTGGCGATTCGAAGAATGTTGAGTTATAATGATAGAAAATATTTTTAGAAAAAAAAAAGTAAAATTTGTCTTCTCTGTAACCCCTAAGGTTAACTGCATGTTTTCTGCAGTCAATAAAGATAATATAATATCTTCCAACAGCCAGTAAAAGTAACTGTATGTTTTCTGCAGCCAATAAGAATACTGTAATATCTTCCAACAGCCAGTAAAAGTCACTGTATGTTTTCTGCAGCCAATAAGAATAATATAACATCTTACTTCAAAAAGTAAAATAAACTGAATATGTATCTACAGCCTTTAAAAATAACTCAGAGTATTTATGAAATTCAAATATCTGGATGTATTTATGAAATTCAAATATCTGGATGTATTTTTAAAATCAGCTAGTATAACTTACTGTCTGTATTCTTTGTGTTAGAATAACAAAATGTTTTCCCTTCAATGTAATAAATGGTTGTTTTTCTAAATTCAGAATATATCGATGTGTTGTTTTTAAAATAATGTATAATAACTAGGCGTATTCGTTTAACTTTTTTACTTGCCTTAAGCTGCATTCTATTGAATGGATTCCATTTACTTATAGTTTTAAATTTAAACATTTTTTTTTTAGATTAACACACATGAAACGTTTCAGTCTTGTGGCTAGATCCTAATATCAATTCACACACGTGTATGCTAGAATATCTTTAAACCGTGTTGCTGTTTTTTCTTGGAGCTACTTGATCTATATATTTTTTATTTTTTTTTACAGTTTCTGACGAAGACAGATTATACTCTCACTTCTGCTTTATACTTCATGTATACCAGTATCGAGCTGAGAGGGGTTGTAAAGTCGGAGGTAAGGTTCGGGACAAAATTAGGACGCATATTAATTGGCTAACTAGCCAAAAACTGTATAATTCAGGAGGGAAATTTTCATGCATTAATAGTGTGAATATTATCATAAAATAAGTTTGCTTAATTTAACTGCACAAACTTTTGTTTAAGTTTTAAGTATTGTATGTCACTTTCTTTGGTGCTTATAAAATTGAAAAATACTAAAGAAGTTCTAAATTTACGTTATGTTTCAGCTAAATATAACAAAGTTTTCAAATATTTTAAACAGTTGTGTGTGTTTTGCAATAACTACAATTTGTGGCTATCAATAATACGCAATATTTCTTTACACCCACTGTAAATTATGCTGAAGTTTAAGGCCAAGTGAAAATTTCAAAACTGTGATTAATACAAAATCACACTGTACTGAAATACAAACTGCTATTATAAAGCCGTGAAAGACACGTGTCACGAGAATTAAAACTTATTATTTTGGGAAGAATACTGTTTCTCAAAAAATACGTAAATGGGAAAGTGATGCCTTTACACATAATTACCCTGAGGGAAGTCCTAAACAAGAATATTACATTTCTTGATGTCTTTTTTTAGATTTATTTAATAAGAAAATTAGAAATTAGTTCTCGATTGATGGTTAACTTTTTGGTATTTTCCATTTGGTTTTTGATTTACCAATTTTTCACCATGTAGAAAAATAAAAGAAATGTATGTTTTAGCTGTATGTTTTTTAAATGTATGTTTTAGCTGTATGTTTTTTAAATGCCGCCATTGAATGTTTCAGCATAGAATTCATATATCGCATTATTTATACTGATTACAATAATTAGTTGATTTTCAACACAACTATAATTATATGATTTTATTGATGTTACATAATGAAACTGAATGGAAAATTCACTGATGAATTTTTAAAGTAAAGTACTTATTGACACTTGAAGTGTATCAACGATTATATTTTGCTAATGCTTCTCTGTAGTCAATATTGTGATTTGTTTAATTGTGAATGCGGCTAGAATTTAGTGACTAAATTTAAACTCTTGTATTATCCAAAGTATTTGACAATAATGTAAATGAGGGTGTTTCTAAACTCGTGTTTTGTCAATAATTAGTTGAAAACAATTTAAGTGATACTTAAAAACTTCTGTGAAATTGATAGGCCATAACTTAGCTGTCTTATTGTGAAACCTTTCTGTTGTCATGTAGAAAGTTTATGTAATTTAGGAAATAGTATTTTAAAACTATTCTAATATTAATAATGATATGACTGAATATCAGATGATCCTCCGATGGGTCAGCGTTAAGTTTACTAACTTATAATCCTGAGTTGGTTTTCCCGCGGTGGATAGAGCACAGATATTGTGTGGCTTAGCACTAAAACAAACAAACAAAACGTCTATCAGGTGACCATATTTCAAATTCAGTGTAATCTCAGTACTAATCTGACCATAATTTAAGCGAGAGTTTACAACAACCGTGTATTATCACCAGTAGTGGTTTTATCAATGATTTATTTGAAAACGTGAATGAATTAGTAGTGAAGCGTGCGAATATCAGGTGACTGTATTTCAAAATCCCTTTAGTGTATGGAGTGGTTGAGCGTATCTAAAAATAATTTCTATCTTAAATCTTTTTCATGTGATTAAATATAATTTTTTAAACCTCTTCAATGTAATTAAATATAATCTTTAAATCTCTTCAATGGAATTAAAGATAATCTTTAAGCCTCTTCAATATAATTAAAGATAATTTTTAAACCTCTTCAATGTAATTAAATATAATCTTTCAATCTCTTCAATGTAATTAAAGATAATCTTTAAGCCTCTTCAGTATAATTAAAGATAATCCTTAAAACCTTTTTAATGTTATTAAAGATAATATTTAAGCCTCTTTAATATAATTAAAGATAATCCTTAAACCTTTATAATGTAATTAAATATAATCTTTCAATCTCTTCAATGTAATTAAAGATAATCTTTAAGCCTCTTCAGTATAATTAAAGATAATCCTTAAAACCTTTTTAATGTAATTAAAGATAATCTTTAAGCCTCTTTAATATAATTAAAGATAATCCTTAAACCTTTATAATGTAATTAAAGATAATATTTAAACCTTTTTAATGTAATTACAGGTAATTTTTAAATCTCTTTAATGTAATTAAAGATAATCTTTAAATCTCTTTAATGTAATTAAAGATAATTTTATATATCTTCATTAAATTAATAAAACGGTTTAAATTGATATGTATCGATAACTTTACTATGAAAACACAATAGAAACAATAAATGGTGTTTTTCACACAAGCTGAACTGTGAGTCATGTTTCAAAGCTATTGTGTGTTTTTTAATTATGTACATTTTAATCGTGTACTAACGTTATTGTAGCGATCCCTATGTTTATATAAGAATACCACGATATAAACAAATTCAAAATGAAAAATGCCAAAATATACTACATCTGTGTCCTCTATGATATCCTGAAAGCTGGTGGTTAATGAAAAATAAAAACAAAAATTTGAAGAATGTACATATCATCTTATTATCATTCCAGATAACAAAATATGCGAAAGTCACAAATAAATGTATTTTACATAATGAAGTAAGTAATTATTATAATTACGCCCACGTTTCTCAAAACTTATTATTAATCGGAACTGTACCTTTTATTTATTTAATTTTTTTAGCGTAACTTTATTTGTTTGTTGTTAAGCACAAATCTACACAATGGGCTATCTGTGTTGTGCCCACCACGGCTATCGAAACTCGATTTGTAGCGTTTTAAGCCTCCAGACTTACCGTTGAGCCACTGGGAAGTTTTTAGTGCAACAACATATTTTTCTTTTTACGTACGTGCCTACTTTTCTTATCATTAGACGTGGCTGGTACGTCTAAACAAAACAGAATGAGAAAAATTTACTTTCAAATATTAGTTTGTATTAGAACACCCTATAACATTTTCTACGGTAGAGGTGAGTTATAAACCTCTTAGCTACATGTCTCCTTTGTATGTGTCTATGTATTTAATACCTATCCATTCCTTAACACTTTGCTATCCATACATCAATTAAATATTCTTCGCCAAAATTCTTGTATTCTTTCTACATTCTAGTTACAGGAAGTCGGAGTCATCTGTATTTGTTTGACTTTGGAAGCTTTGATAAACATTTTAAACCACGAGATAGAACCGTATCCCAAACTTTGTCACTACCAGGCTTAGGAAGTGTACTTTTAGCTCTCTTCAATGGTCAGAAACACGTGCCTTACAGGTAAGTCAGGAAAGACGGCACCATAGAAACTAAAATAATTATACACTGACTCAGTTCCTGTATATATTTGTTTTATATGTAAGAACATAAACGTAATATTTATAAATGTGGGTGTATATATATATGAAATGTAGCTTATTTCAAATAGAGAATTAATCTTTTTTGTTTAAAGACCAAAAGAGGAATTCGATACACATGCCTTTAAAAAAGTCAAATAATAATTAGTTTGAAAGTTCATATTGCACTTCTAAAGAAAGCGGAAATGAATACTGGTTTAAAGTCGATTTATACTTATTGAAAAGGATTTCCTATATTCTTAAAGTACATATTTCTTTGGCACTATTTATTTGTTCTTAAACGCAAAGATACGCAATGGGCTATCTGCGATGTGCCCACCACGGGTATTGAACACCCCTTTTTTAATGTTATAAGCCTTTAGTCTTACAACTGAGCCATTGGAGGGAAGAGCGTGGCACTGTAAATGATTTTAAAGTTACAAGTGACTGAAAAATAAAACAGGAAAGCCTGAACGGATAAACATCATCCTTCACATTAAAATATGTTTTAAATAGCGTTAAAACTAAAATATGTTCGAAAAACGGGTTTTGGGTCACAAGTGTTACAACTGCTCCCTTGGTCAAGCAACGTGTCTGCAGGTATACGTGTATGCAAGTGTATAAAGCTTGTATGAGATGTCCCCTCCCTCAATTACTTGTGAAAATCTCAATCATGCAGGTTCTACATGAGCCACACACTTGACCAGTACATAACTGTGCTGCCCAGTACATCATTACCAAATGCCTACAGTTGAAACAGCTATTTCTAAGACGCATATCAGACTTTTATCTTTGTCTAGGTGTTATAGATATAGAATATATTGCAGGCATATGTAACTTCCTCCAGGACGCTGGCCGGATAGTAATTTTTAAATGTACTTGTGGGCACCCAGTATGAAGCAAAATTTTAGCCAATAATCCATATTTTAATATTGTATACATTTTAAGTTCTTAAATTTATAAGACAATGTTTTTAAAAATCTGAATTTATCTTAGTGTGAGAAATGTGAATTTGTTTCTCTTGGCATCCTCTCTTCTCTAATTTATTTACCACTCCTCCAATAAGTAAGAAATTTAATATCGTCATCACTCAAACAATTTCCCTAGCCTTCAATCTTGTTTGGTTACATAGCCATAAAATATAAAATCAGACCCTCTTGCCACACCTACCTATCATATCCTCTCTTTCAGAATTTATTAGTAGTTCTCTCTTACGTTTAATACTAAGTTATTTATAACTAATAGAAAGCCAAGATTTTCGTCTAACAAATGATGTATCATATTAAGTTGTTTTCTTACAGAGAATTGTCGATTTCTCTTTTAATACAAGCTTTGTTCCCACTGGAAAGATATCGACTAACTTGGATGAATTTGTAATTGCTCTTGTCGTATAGTTAGAAAGCCAGAAAATTATGATAGTTATGAGACTTGTTTGTTTGTTCTGAATTTCGCGCAAAGCTACA